CAAACAAGAATCGAAATAATTGTATTTCAGAGAATTTCCTGCAAGGAAGTATGAGACCTAGAAGGCTATAACAGATGAATTTGTTTTATTTGGTGTCATTTTGAATTTTTCAAAAACAATTATTTCTTTGAAAGTCAGAAAGAGGGACAGACTGTGAGGTCTTAATGCCCATTGATCCATTCTTTAGCATTCATTAGCATGGACAAGACACGAATGAGTCCCCATAAGGACACCTGCAGGACCCGTGGCAGGTGTGCCTGCCGTACTTCACACTGGCCCCATATTTGACATCAATTGTATCTTTTTCATAGTTTCAAGTGGATTATTATGTAATTAATCTTTCATGAGCAAAGGCCTAAAGCACTACCAGAGAAGGATTTGCTCGCAATTGGAAACAGCTGTTGTTTCTGGAGTCTTATGTCACAGTAGTAATTATAATACCGAGCATTCTTCAGTATTTTTTTCATCCATCCTTTGGACCACCGAGAAGTATTTCATATTCATTAACCGCAGAGTCATTTTCCATAATATATAGTATGCTCTTTAACCAGATAAGAAACTGAATATGTATGTTTTTAGTGTCATTGTCACTTTCCATCAATAGAGTGTTCTTTCAGATTCTGTAATAACAGAAGCAATAAACAGATTTTGCTTGACTCCACCCTGAGGTAGGCCAATTCAGGAACAAGGTAAAGGCCAAGGTGATGTATTCTTTCTTTCCCCCGCTGCCTTCCCGCTGCCCTAGAGGGTCAACCTTGATTCAGAGATCATGTCCAGAGGATTCTGCCGAGCAGCTCGGCCCAGGTCTTCCAGGACACGTCCGTACACTCCACGGAGGGCTTCTGAAATCGCTTGGTGCCTTTGTCTCTGCACTTCTGACTCACTCCTTCCCACGGCCAGCAGGGGTCACCTGCAACACGGATTTCAGTGTTGGTAATTCACATTGCACGGTCTTCTGGAGGTGGGGCGGCGCGGGGAAAGGGGACGGGGAGACACAGTGCTTTGGGGGAAGCCCACCCAGTGCTCTCCAGGTTCCTCCCTCTCTTGCTTATGGCATACCTGCAGTCTACAGCTAATCCGCCCGGGACTGTCAGTTCTTCCAGCCTTCCTGTCAGACCACGCCTCAGACCTCCTCCCGTTTCTCTCAAATCCTGAGAAAGGATGGCCTCGTTTCTGATCCTTTTCAAATTGTTAATGTTTGCAATTAGCTTCAATGAGCCTCACGCTTCTCCGTATGAAGTGCGTCTTAAGCGATGCGAGGAGCTGGCTGAGTTCATGTAGTCACTCTGCCTCTCCCCAGCTAACCAAATTAGGGCTGTCCTTGGCCACCCCCCCCCGCAAGATGCCACCTACCCCACATCAAAACACAATGTCACTAATAGCTTTTCTGTTGACCTGATTCATTCATTCACTCTCTCACATAGGAACTATTTATCGAGTGCCAGGTCTTGGGTGAAGTACTGAGGGCTGAACTGTAGCCAAAGTTAATAGGCACCTGCTTTGTGCACCTGCTACGAGAATGGGAGAAAGAAACAATAACCAAACATTTATCACGCATGTAATTTTCACATCGTAAGGGATCCAAAAGTGCAAAGATTACTGGGGATGCGAGGTCCCGACGGTAGGGGGCAGTGTTTAGAACACCTCCGTGTCTCCTACCCGTCGTCTGCGCTGGGATCCTGGTGCTTTTCTGCCCACTCCAACCACGCTTGGGGAGAAAGCTGCTGAATGGCTTACATCCGCAAATACATACAGATCTGTCGTACACTCAGTTGTTTCTGAATTCTGTGGCAAAGAAAGTCATTGTAACCCCGTGAAACTTTCTATGTATAGGTGGTTCTCCATATATTTTGCCTGGATATAATTGTATTTCTAGAAATCCAACCATGTTTCTGTGTTGGTAGTTGCTTGTGCTGGTTTCCATGCCAGCTCATCCTCAGGTCATAACTTTTACATGTTCAAAGATGTACATTGAACATGTGGTTTGAGCCTCAGCGATTTGTCAGTTCTTCAGACTTTGAAATATCACTCTTTTACAAGGCTGCTCATTAAACTTCATGGGGTAATTGGTGCAAAGGTTTCTGAAATCCATGCGTTTTTCCCGCAAGGCACAGAACTGCAATACTGCTGATCATTTTTGTGGATGATTTCGCCCTCCTGTTTAAGTCAAATGAAGCCACAGGAGGAAGCATTTTCCGAAGCTCTGACTTCCCTGTCTACATGCCAAGAACAGACACGAGGAAGACAGCGGCCTAGTGTCCCGTGTTCTCTGCGTGCTCCAAGGAAGTGCAGTCTGATGTTCTGTAAGCAGTGTTCTCAATAATGGTTGAGTCTAGATCAACCCCACAGCAACACACTGCGAGCAGTGACAAAGTGGTACTAGGGTTCTGATTCATGTGGCTTTTCAAAGCTTTGCGAGATGCCTGGAGAATCTAACCAATGTTTGTCAACAGTGCCCTGGGGGAACCACATCCTGCAATAGTGAAAGAAATGTTCGAAACCCACGGAGCTGAGAAGATGCTGTCGCCTTACCTGCATCTTTCACCCTCTGAGGCCCAATCTGCTGCAGGCTGGGTGCTGCACGGGCCCTTCTCCACCCAGAAGGAAGCCTGGGAGCTGCCATCACGCAGCGTGGCTCTCTGGTCTCTCAGCCACGCTCGCGCACACTCCAACAGCACAAACTGCCTCTGTATCCTCTCCAATACCCTGTGCCCATCCTGGTCTCTGTCCAGTAGGCCCAGTCTTTTCCTCTCCACCGGACTGGTCACTCCCTTGTTTGACACTAGCCTCCTGAGAAGTACCTCTCACACACGTGTGCCCCTCCAGCAGTCCCTGGCTTGTCTCTGGCCCTGCTCCTTGTGGCTACTTCTAAGCCTACCATCCTGCGGAGTCCACATGGACCTCCTGGCGCTTCAAATATGGACGATGAGGAAACTAGGAAGGAAAAAATGAATGCATTTTCATTTTCAAACATACCTGTTTCTTTATCCTAATGACCCCTTACTATCCAACTTGCAACTAATAGCCACAAACACAATTCTTTCTTTTAGAAAAGACTATGGCTCAAGTGGGGCTACAGGGGATAAGTAAAAAGTAGGTTTGGGAGGCGGGGAATATATAAATAAAATCAAAAGCACTCAAAATGAGACGTTTATTAGATAGTGTTCATCCAACTGTATGTTGACACCTGCTGCATGTGGGTGGGAAGTGTGGGGCAAATGGAGTCGGGAGGAAGGGCATTGTGGATGAAGTTCGGCGTGACCTGTGGACAGTCTGCCCTACTGGGAAGACGAATGGTGCATCTTTAACTGTAGTACTAGCCTTTCGCCAGCAGAGGGCAGGCAAGCTATTACGTGCATTTTCTCCCCACTGGATGTTTTTGTACTTCAGATACATTTAATTGACCATTCTTCAGAGTTAGGAGCTGTGACAGGCACAGCGATCTTTGTTAGTAACATTGTGGACAGTTTTTTCGATATTCTAGTTTGGTACTCAAATCTAAAAGAATATGGGTCTTGTTTAGCGGGGGCTGGGGGAAATGATTGTGCAGTTTAAATGTTGAAAAAGGAGTAATACATGCTAAATCCCGGGCCAAGTGACTCACAGACGTTATCATATTTAATCATCACCAAAGTCTTAGGGTGTTGTGGTTCGTTAGTCTCAGTTTTTATGCTGACAATGAAGGCACCTGCTGAGTCTTAGGCCTCCTAGAGTGTCCTGTAAGCTCACTCACGGGAAGGCAGCCAGTTTCTGCCTTATTGCTGTGCTTGGAGTGTGGGATCCGTGCTGGCTTTAGTCCTGGAGAGAAATGGAAGCAGAAGTGGGAACACCGTGTGCAGGTGACTAATTGTAAACCCTTGTTCAGGATATTTACTGTATTATAGAAAAAGATAGGATTGTTGCATATGTTTGCAGTTTCTGAAAAGTGTATCACAGATTTCCTTCACGTTTTATCCCTAATACCCATGGCTGCTAATTTGGGATATTGTATTTGCTTAAGTTTCCTCTTTACAGTCTCTCTGGAAATAAATGGAGAAAGTGAGTTTACAAAATCCTCCCACCCGAGCTCTCTGCAAACTTGGGTTTTGTTTCGTATCAACCAGGGGGTTAAATGTTAGCAGAGCTGCAAGAAACAAAATGAGGGTATTTTTAGTTCAAGTTGGCAACTCTTTTTTTTTTCCATGTTTGCTATGTTGCCAAGCATTGGGCCAAGGACAAGGGTGAAAATTTTCGAGACTCCATTTCTTATTGGAGTTTAGTAGCCAGCCTGGAAGGCAAAAACATCCAGCATGAACTTTAATAGAACACCCTAAAGTCGAGTACCAGGGTGGGAGGAAGGCTGGAACTCTGAGTTTCCCCATCTACAACAGCTTACGCTGTAGCTTTAGCGGTTGAGGTTTGCACGGTGCTTCTACATTCAGAACCGCAGTCAAGTGATGCAGGATCAGAAAGGGGCTTCGAAGCTGAGCAGAGATGCAGCTGCATTTTATGGCCGAGCAGTATCCAGAATTCAGATCATATCTACTCACTAAGTCAATGTGGTATCACAGGTGCGTTAGCAACCAACATCCCTTGCCCGAAGGTTTCCTGTGTGGGAGGCACTGCAGCTTCTGCACTGTGGGACAATGGCAGAAGGCTGGAAAAGAAGACCGTTAGAAAGCTACATCAGCAAGTAGAATGATTTGATGTTGTAATCACCAAGGGCTGAGCAAACCACCAAGGTCGTTCTATTGTTTCGTGGCTAAGGGAACTGACATTTGACAGTCAATAATGATCACTGTTTACTATATAGTATGTGGCATCTATAAAACGAAGAAAAAGCATAAAACAGTTACTAAGATGGGGGCAGAATTGGTGAACGCTAAGTGGACGTGTCCCGGTTACTGGGTTAACATTTTCCCACCACAGCACATGTCTGTCTGTGATACAGGTGGAAACACCTCCCAGCAGTCTAAATGCCTGTGTGGTCTTCTCATTATCCCGTACTTCTCTTCTCTCAGGGCCAAGGAGATTAAGATTAAGTTGGGAATTCTGCTGCAGAAGCCAGACTCGGCTGATCTTGTCATCCCTTACAACGAGAAGCCTGAGAAGCCAGCCAAGGCCCAGAGGTGAGTCACAAATTCACAGCCTATTTCCCTCCAGAGGGTGGCTGATTTTCAAGTGCAATGACTCTTGAGGCCCTAGACCCCACAAGGAAGTGCTTTGTCAATAAACATTTTTGAACGTCCGTATGATTTTACTATTCCACGTCTGGAGCATCATCCTCAATACCGGTTGAATAACAAGAAAAAAAAACCCCACAAGACAGAATTTTGCGTTGTTTCTGGGAAGGTGGGTCGTACTGTAAAAGGGTTCTGGCCAGCTCCTCAGTCATTTACCATACCACGTGATCAGCAGACCGTATTGTTGCCTACTGCCCTCGGTTAGGAAAGCAGCTCTCTGTCATTCGTGGGGAGCGTGGCCTGTTCGGACCATCCAAGGTTGTGATTTCCGCAGGGAGATGCAGTTGAGAATATCTCACTTGCAGATATGAAGAGTAAGGCATGCTCTTTATAGCTTTATGTCCAGGGTCACCTCACATCCAGGTCAACAAGGAACAGAAGGCTGTGATGGGCAGGCATTGTGACTGAGGCAACCACAAGAGAGGATGATGACTGCTTGGCCGGGTGGGATGAGAACATCCCACAGCAGGGTGCTGGTTCGAGTGCTGCCTGCTCCACTTCTAATCCACCTGCTTACTAATGCATCTGGGAGTAAAAAATTAGGACTCAGCTACTTAAGTCCTGGTCACAGACGGGGGAGACACAAAGGGGGTTCCTGGCGCCTGAACATGGCTGCCTCAGCGCTGGCTATCATGATTTCTCCATAAACAGACACAAACGGTCTCTCTCCCTCTCTCTTTCTCTCAATCTGTCTTTCAAAGAGATAACTGATTCTTAAGGGAGAAGTGACTACTGGACCAGCAGTTTTCATCTAATGCATGTAAAGTAGTTTTGCCAGTCCATTCACTAATATTCTAGATTGTTTCTGCAGTCCTTCCTCTCTCTCGTCCCTGGAGACCCTGTAATTCTAAAGAAACGAAGTGTTAGGGTCATGAATTCAACTCCTGCAGTTTATACCACCCCTCCTCTCACCGAACTGGTCACTGGTAACATTACTTATAACATTCTCATGTTTGTGTTGGTTCCATCAAATCCCTGCATTGTCATGGTCTTAATACACATACATCATCTTCCTACCCCACCTTTAAAACATATTATTCATTTGAGAGATAAGAGAGAAGGAGAAATGAAGAGTGGGGTGGAGAGAAAGAGAAAGAGAGAGAGAGAGAAAGCTTGCATCTGCTGGCTCCAAAAGCTTTCAAAGACCAGGGTTGGGTCAGGTGGAAGTGGGGGTGCTGGGACTTAATCCAGATCTTGCCTGTGGATGAAAGGGGCAGAATTATTTAAGTCTTGACCATCTCCTCCCAGGGTGTACAACAGCAGGAAACTGGAATGCAGTGGAGCTGCACTCCAACATAGACAAGGGGAGATGGGGTCTGAATGTGCAAATGGACGCCCACTCCCACCTTTCCTTTAAAAATACTTAGGAAAGAAAAGGGAAAGAGGAGAAACCTTATATGTTCAAACTCTTTCACTTTGATCCTTAAAAAGATCTCGGAAGTGTGGTAAACACTGAGGAGTCTCTTGAAGCCTTCATTTCTCTTTTAGCCTGTGTAGAAAGTTGAACAACCCTCCTGCGACCAAATGACCTTCAACTTAATATAATTGGGTTGGTTGGGAAATAGAGAGATGGGTCATGCCTTTTTAAAAACTCTTTTGCCATCAACCTAAGTGGATATTTCCATTCTCTTGCTTTCATGACTTCAAAGTGATCTCAAACCGGAAGTGAGGCATAATTGAGTTTTCTCCATTTAAAAAGAGGAAGCTAATTCAATGTGGAACAGCAGACACCGAGCACTCCTGGGGAAGCGAACCATATTTCAGAGCAGTTGCAGATCAAACAGTCTGTTTTGAAGCAAACAATGTGATGGTTATTGATCTGCTTGAGTTAACTTAAAAAAAGAAACCACGATAATACTACATTTCCTGCTTCGATTCCTGGCTTGACCGCCACACGTGGACACTTGAACTGTTTGGCTTAACAAGATTCAGAGAAAATCTGGGAGAAAACCTGGGGCTGACATTTCGTGGACGACTTGCCTCTCTCTTCTGCCATCTCTTTTCTCCTTTGAGAAGTTTGAATGCTTTTTGGAAAAATCTTCTGTGTTTCTATTGAATTTTTACCAGTGAACACTAAAAGTGATTCTCAGCCTCTTTCAAACCTGTCAACCTCATCCCACCTCCTCAGGTGTGGCAAATTTCTGTGAGCTTTTTTTTTTTTTTTTTTACTTGACAGCAAAATATTGTCTTCTGCCTACAGTTGATCCATCATTTTTGCCTCCACTTTAAAATCTCTCTGCAATTTTTTAAAACAAAATATGTCATCCTCCTCCTGGGGACAAAATAAACCTTATTTTTACTGAAGGTATTTTTAAGCCCTCTCATCTTCTTTGGATTATTGGACATCAGATTCCTATCTCAAAGAGTAGCTTTCTGTTTTTTTTTTTTTAATATGATTTAAAATTTTTCATTTGGTAGAAAAATCTGATGCTTAAGAAAGAGAGAGAGAGAGAGAGAGAGAGAGAAAGTTTCTTATGTGCCCAAGCCAGCTTCTGTTGCTATTTTGGTATCCCCATTGCTTTTTTTCTTTAGCCTTTCAAACAAGGAATAGACAAGACCCAGATTTCACAGTAAAATATTCTCCCAGTCCTTTCTCCCTTCTGCTTCCAGCTTTGTTCTCTTACTTTCCTTGTTAACTCTAGGAAATTCACACAAACAGAAAGTGGAGAGGCCAGTTGCTCGCTTTGATTGATTGAAAGTACCCATATGTCTTGAGGTATTACACGATACCCTATAAAAATGAACAGTAGTAAAGTTAATAGAAAATCTAGAAAATTAAATAGAGGAGGGGAAAGACATGTTTAGATATGTGATAGGACTGTGTACATTTCAAATCAAACCACAGTAAATAAAAACCAGGACCAAACAAAAACCAAGCACTGATGCTTAGAGAGGTTGAAATACTCTTCTGTGGTTAGACCTAGTGTCAGCGTTGCCAAAAGCATGGTGATGGTTTGTGAAACTGACCACTGGAATCCAAGTTTGAGGAGGCAAGTGCTTGGCACAGCAATCCAGCATGCTGCTACGATACGTGCAGCAGGTAATGGAAGTAGCGAGGTTTCAGTCTTGATTTTTCTTGACTTTACCTCGTACTCTGGGAGGCAACAGGTGATGGCTCCAGTCCCTAGATCCTTCCTACTCACCTAGGAGATCCAGACTGACTTGCAGGCTCCTGGCTTTGGACTGGCCCAGTCCTGGCTGTCCTAGTCTTTAAGGGGAAGGAATTAGAAGATAGGAGCTCCCTCTTCTCTTCTCTCCCAATTTTTTACCCTTCAAATATATATGATGACATTTTAAAATATATAAAAATAATGTCATTATATAAAATGTCATTATGTAAAAATAATGACATTTAAAAATATATATATTTATATATTTAAAATATATAGAATATTTCAAAATGTCATTATTTTTAATGGTACAATACGATAGGATCTGGGATTTCCCTTCCCCATTCCTCAAATCCCTTCCCCTGCACTGATTTTCCCTATGGTTTTACAATACTATATAGTCCTTTTTAAGCAGTCCTAAGTCCATCATTCTGCTATTTAAGTGTTTCCTGACATTATAGATATGGACAATGGCAGAGAGTCCAGCATCCTATTGTCAAGATATAGTAAACAGTTTCATTGGGAGTCCATCTTTGATCTGGAAGTAGAGATGCATACTGCATTGTATCATCACATCTGGATGTGGTAGTCTCCATTTCACAGTTACTGTACATCCCCTTAATTGAAAAGCCACAAATCAAAATCAACAACAGGAAGAAAAACAGAAATTCACAACACCATGAAGTTAAATAACATGCTACCTGAACGGCTTATGAGATCATTTGTAGCTTTCCATAACCAGGTTAACCTGAACAAAATGAAGTGCTGTTTGTTTCCTTATCAACCTGATATCTATTGTGTGTGTGTGTGTGTGTGTGTGTGTGTGTGTGTGTGTGTGTGTGTGTGTTTGGGTTGATGCAGAGGAAGACATGGAAGAGGATGGGATAGAATGGCTGATGCTTCCCATGAGTCACAAGCGACACATTTAGGTGGAGGGTAGATCATTGCCACGTGGGAGACTCAGTGACTCAAGGTAGTGACAGTGCAGAGAGAGCACGCTTGCAGATGGAATGGTCACTTCCTGAGCTGGGGGGCAGTACAGTGAGCGTCGTCAACCATGGACTTAATCATCTCCATCAATTTTATTCTAACTTTCACTTAAACTAGCTTTCTCTCTCCCCCCCTTCACATTCACATAGAAAAACCACTCGCCGTCAGTGCTCAGCTATGACCTTATGAGCATTCAGATCTACATCTATTTAGTTTCCAAAGAAGTCACACTTTCTGAGGACTGGCAGATTCTAAGACTAAGGACAGAATGAACCTTTGTTTCCGCCTAGGCTGATAGTCACAACCCCAGGATCCATGCTGTAGGGGAAGTATCCTGCTTAACTTACGTCAGTTTGGGTCAGCTTCACCTCCACATGGGATTTGCCCATGTCCTTTGAAAAACTGAATCTTGACTGCAATGTGCTGTTGATATTGATGATTAGCTTGCCTTGAACAAGCATCAGGAACAAATTGGATCTGGTAACCTAAGTTTGATATATCTACTGTGTCATTTTTTCTTCCTGGCCCCTCTGTAGTAGTTTGAAGAAATGAGGAGTGAGGAGGTGGTTTTTTTAAAAGGGTCTGGCGCCATAGCATAGCCGTTACAGTCTTCACCTTGAACGTGCCGGGATCCCATGTGGGCACTGATTCTAATTCTGGTAGCCCTGCTTACCATCCACAAGCTCCCTGCTGGTGGCCTGGGAAAGCAGTCGAGGACAGCCCAAAGCCTTGGGACCCTGCACCTGTGTGGGAGACCTGGAAGAAGCTCCTGGCTCCTGGCTTCAAATTAGAGCAGCTCCAACCATTGCGGCTGCTTGGGGGGTGAATCAGTGTATGCAAGATCTTCCTCTCTGCCTCTCCTCTCCTCTGTATATCTTACTTTCCAATAAAAATAAATAAATCTTTTTAAAAGGAAAATAATATGATTTTTTAAAGGAGAATATTTGTAAAAAAAAAAAATGGAATAGTCATGGAGCGAACCAAGCCCTTCCTTTTCTGAATCAGTTTCTTTTAGCCGATAGTTCAGTGCCTGGTAGCTCCCGACAACCATTTATGGGCACTGATTGTGTGCACACTACTGAGTCCCTGGTAATGGAACATTAAAACACTTAAGGCTTTATCTAAAAGTATGTATGTGTGAAGCAGAATGGCCATTGGGAAGGACCTACTGTATAAGGTAAAACAGAAAAAAGAGTTATTGATTGCTAGAAAAACAGATCCTTTTCTCATTAAAAATAGAGTAATATAGTGGGCAAAGCTTCCCGCTGCTATGCCAGCTTCTCATATGAGCTTCAGTTTGTGTCTCAACTGCTCCACTTCTGGCCCAGCTCCCCACTCACGGCCTGGGTAAAAGAACAGAAGTTGACCCAAATGATTGGCTGCTTCCATGTGGGAGACTAGCTCCTGGCTTTGGCCTGGCTCTGTCTTGGTTGCTGCAGCTGTCAGGCAGTTGATGAAAGATCCCCATGTGCCTCTCCCACTCTCTCTGTATTTCCTATTTCCAACTCTCAAATAAATAAATCTTTTAAAGAAATAAGCATAAGACGGACATGCTGGGGATACATTTCATCCCCTGTTGATGCCATTTCTCCTTCCTGTGCTCCGAGGAAAAGGGGGCAAGGGAAGGTAGCTCAATTGGTACAACGGAATTTCCAAGGAATTTCTATGTTTGTAGTCGAGGATGCCCATGTTTCCAGCAAGGAAACCAGAAAAAAAAATTATCTTGCCAGGGCTAGTATCTCACTTTGGCCAATGTGTGACTTTCAGTGAAGGAGCGTGTCTATAGAACTCAGAATTGGCAACCGTTCTGTAGTAAGGACTAGAGAAATGAGGGGATTATTCACAGTACTTTAGGCAAACAGTCCACTGACTGCTGGACTCCTTACATAAATAAAGTGAATTGATTTACATAGTGACATAAATAAAGTAAGGCTGAATCTGAGCCTGGGACAAAAACAAAAATGAGAAGCACAATAAGCAGTTGTCTAGTCAACCTCGGCTGCTAATATAAATAATGCAAATAGTATAAATATTATTTTATATGAACTGGAAGCAGGAATATTCCTGGACTGTCTGAGACATTAATAAACAATCTAAGAGCTAATGAAATTCTGATATGGGAAAACATTCCCCTTGGCCTTAATATTCTAATGAATGCCTTGTCAGTCTGTTTTGACTCGATAGGAACACACATCATAATGCAAAAGTTCAAGCGGGGTGAGCCTGGGAGGACGCAGTCAGCCATTTTTGCCAGACAACAACCATTCCACTTGAGACATCCTGCTGTGCCAGAAAGATCTGTGGTTCAAATGAAATAGCCACAGGGTTTCTGCATATATAAAAGTTAAAATAAAAACAACCTAAGGGGAAATGATCTAGTGGCTCTTACCTTCCTCTCTCTGAGTCAGCGTCTCAAGTATTTGTGTAAAACATTTCTATTTAGGATATATTATGCACATTTTTTGCTCACCAAAAATATGCACTTGTACTTGCCTAGACACATATAATCCTGTCCTAATTGGGCAGGAAATAATTAAAATATATATATATATATATATATACATGTGACCATATGTGTGTGTATATATATATATATATATATGTAAACACATTTCCTACATAAGGCAAAATGACACACATACCTTCTTCCACTCAGACTAATCAGATGGCCTTGGGCTGTGAATATGGAACTCAATGTCATCTGCTGATTAAATCAAATGGTTTAGCATAGCGTCGGTGAGTCATGATTGAACATGAGTTCAATCCCTGTAATGGGAAAACTGGATTTCATTAAGTTATATTTGGAAAAATGACCACAATTGGAGCCACTCTCAGAGGATATAAAAGAATATCAAGACACTGTTTCATGACAAGTAGACGGTTTCTAGAACAGAACAGATTGAACCCAATTATACAGGAACTGATGAAGATATGTGATATAGATGTAAGGAAACAAACACAGTTCAACACAACATAGTTGTAAGAAAAAAAATAAGTCAACCATCCTTGCTCTGAGCCTGGGTCCTTGGCTGTCTTGTTTAGATCTGTGATAAACAGGGCCAAGTCGTTCTTGGTGTATGCGCTAACTCTCTGTGTCATCAACCTCTTCTTTCCTTATTCTTTATTCAGACCCTCGCTGGATGAGGCCCTGCAGTGGCGTGATTCTCTGGACAAACTCCTCCAGAACAATTGTAAGTCTGCCCTGTTTCTTAATAGAACACGAGGGAGGGAGAGACACACAAAACACTCTAAGAGTTGTCACGTCTTTCTTCCCGAATGTTGTTGTTTCTTCCAGTTTTCAGTGATCTTAACAAAGAAAGGATATTATGAAATGTGGTTATCCGAATCACAGAAGAGGGAGGGCAACATATTGTGGAGAGCGAGAAAACAAGGAGTCCTGAAGACTTATCTTGTAGATTGTGTTTCTAACCACCCCAGTCGTTTGGGTGAGCCAGGAGAAGCAGTTTGAGTTGTATGCTTTCTGAATGTTCTCACCAACAAAAAAGAAAAAAGAAGCTACTTTTCTTGGATCAGCTAGGAAAATCAGTTGTGATAGAATTGGGCATACCAGTGTAAAGATCACTGGGCAAGTCATAAGTAGTGCATCCTAGTACAAATTGTTCACACTTGCTCTTGTCACTTGACATACATATTTATCTCCTCCTATTATGAGGAATTCAGTACAAAAAGACTACAGCAAAACTCAATTTTTGTCTCACATGAAAGAAGAATTTCCATGCAGACAATTTCAGTGTGCCTAGCAAGATTTATTTAAGAGAGCAGGAGAGGTTGGTCTTCTGTCGTAGTGACAGAAGGGAGTTGCAAGAGAGGAAAGACATGAGAAAATGGTGTAAGTGGTGTCATTTAGGCACCATCTCAGGGAAGAAGGCAAATGAATTAAAGGGGAGAGGGGAGCCCATTCACAACGGGCAGAACTCCTACCTACGTCCTTCCCAACAGGGTGAGACTGGCCACCCCTCCTCCCATTTTTACAAGAGATTTCAAAATCAGGTACCATCTCTTTGCTTTGATCATCACCACAACTCAGATGGGGACTGACGGTGCCCTTCGAAGGACAAAATGGGGAAGAAACAAGACTGTATTTTCAAAAAGTAGCTTCTCTAGGGACCAGAGACCCTGTCTACCTAGTGGCCCAGTGAACTCCTCCCACTCCAGCTTTTGTCTTCTCTTTGAAGAGCAATTCTTTTACGTCTTCATCCAAGACATGGCCAAGTTGTTGACTAGTCGGGAGCTCTTTTCCAAGCTAATAGCAATGTATCAATGAGCCCTACTTGCCTTTGCCCTATGATAGAACTCTTAGTGTTCACCAAGACTTAAAGTACCAAGTTTATCATGATCAAGCTATACAATGATAACAATGTAGCTGGTTGTGATTCAGTTTAAAATGCTTAGTCCTTCTTTCTCCATCTTCACAATCTGAATGAAATGTGAAAGCTGCTAGTGTGTTGGTGAAAACAAGCACTTCGGGGTCCTTCACGGGGCCATCATGATTAATGGGCACAAAGTCAGTAACAAAGAATACATGTTGAATCGCTAGACAAAACAGCAAAACCTCTCATTTGCGATTCAAACATTCTCCCTCTCTCAGTTGTTTATTTGAAAGTCAGAGTACCTCAGAGATACACAGAGGTCTTCAGTCTTACAGTTCTTCCGACAGCAAGAGATGGGGCAGGCCAAGGCAAGGAGCCTAAAACACAACGCAGGCCTTTATGGACGGAAGTAACCCAACTACCTCAGCCATCAATCTCACTTCCCAGAGTGTGCATTAGGAGGAAAACAGAAGTTCAAGAATTTGAACTCAAGCATTCTTTCCAATACTGGATGTGGGTTTCTCAAGTAGGTTCTTGTGCCAGTTGCTGTGCCAAATACCAGCCTCTGCTTGAGCATATTGGAGATCACTCAAATATATGCACACCAACGAGTTTGCATATGTCATAGGCAAGCACAGTGTATGAGTCAAAATATTTTAAATTGTATGTCACATATACTTCTAAATTATATGTGTGTACATAGTGAGTATATGTGTGTTTGTGTGTATAAATATGCATATGTATATAATCATCAGATTTACATAATTATCCTCTTACATAAGGAATATATTTTGGTGGCACCTGCCAGCATGTGTGTGGACTGGACAGTAGGGCTGGTTGGGTTGAACTAGGCTTCAATGCCCATTGACATGTACGAGAGCTAAATGGGATGTGGGACAGACTGGACAAGTCTGCGGTACATACTGGCAAACATGGTAACCAGGGTAGAGGGTAGGCCTGGTGGGGGTTATGAGGAGGCGTCCCAACTAGGCTGCAGCTCCCACTGGTTTGTGTGAGGGCTGAGCGTGAAGTGGACAGGATCAGGCTGGACTGCAACACCCATTGGTTCAAGTGGAAGACAGGGCTGGAAACAGAACTGATCCAGCGATTGAAATGAGAAGCATGTGCATAAGCCCTGTACTGGCAAGCACATACAAAAATCAGGTCTGGGATCACCTCAGACGAAGTTTCTTTGGAGATCCCTCCAACTGAACTGCTGATCTCAGAACCTCAGCCATGAAGAGACTATGTCAGCCAGTGAATTCTGAATAGATTTCATCGTGCTTGGAACGGCAAGATTGGCAGCAATTCAGAACTGTTGAACTATCAAATTTGCTTGAGCAGGACCCTTGGAGCATGCCCCACATCGGGGACCTGGGATGGGTGGGAGGTTAGGTGGGGTTTCTCCCTTTGCTTTTCCTCTTACCCCAGATACAGAAAAAAAGAAAAAAAGATATTCATGTGGAAAAAAGGGGGGGAGGGTGAGAAGGGGGTAAATATTATATTCTTAAAGCTGTGTCTATGTATTAAATGAAATCCTTCTTTAAAATAATAATAATAATAAAAAGAAAGAAAATGAATCTATTTTTATTTAATATATATTTGGGAAATTAGTTTCTCTAAAGCAACACATAGAAAAGCTTTTGATAACTACACTGTCAGTTCTTTCCTTGAAACAGACATGTTTCCATTTAAACTAGTCCAAGTATAAAAAACAATTGATGTTAGGGATGCAGAGGTGTCAGAGAGCAGAGGAGGTCGTGCCCTGCAGGAGGCAAAGCCGTGGGTTAAAGACAGTTCACCTCCAGTTCGATTGGTCAGTTCTCCTTCTCCCTGGATGCACATTATCTTTCTTCTTCCCTCATTCTATTGCTGTCTCTTCCTAACCAAATCTCTTTGTTCCTAGAGAATAAATGGAATAATAAATGAGCCCCCAAATCCTATCCCAGAATTATAAAGCTGAAGGAAGAAGATTTGAGCCATGACCTCAAACATCAGATACTGTGCATCACAAATAACTGGAAGTTAAATTGATGGCTTTTTATGAGATGTTCTTATTTAAGTCGGTGCAAACTAATATTCTGTAAATCAGGTAATGAAGAATGACATGGCTGAGTAATATATGCATTTAAAACTTCAAATACAGGGGCTAGCATTGCGACAGCAGGAGAAGTTTTCTTTGTTGGCAACCCGTGTTGGAGTCCTGTTTCATTTTGTAGCTGACCTACTTCCAGAATAGTTTCCTGCTAATGCATTGAGCTATCAGTAGAAGATGGCCCAAGTGCTTTAGTCTCTGCTGCCCACATGGGAGACTCAGATGGGATTACCAGCTGCAGGATGGGGTCTAGGTGCAGCTTGAGCCAATGTGGCCATTTGGGAAGTAACCCAGTAAATTAGAAGCTCTCACTTCCTTGCTCTAACTACAAAATGTACAATAAAGTTTAAGTCCTCTTTTAGTCTCTTCTTGAATGTTTGCTGTGATCGGTTTTTAAACATTTAAACTTGGAGAATGGCATTTTTGTTGATTTACAAGCAATATTTTGCCTCCTTTCACTGTAATGTAGGATGTTGACTCTTAAAGTTGATACAATTCCCCAAGTCATGCTGAAATCCACTTTTTTCTTAATTTTTCTTGAGTAGGCATGAAATTGGCTCAGCCCCTAAAAACCCAAAGCAGTTAAAATGAAACCAAATCTCTTTTTCAATGATTAGGGGACCTATTTTCTTCAGTTTAAAAATAAGTTTTGATCATACAATATATTAGAATCTTGACATGTTTTCCTTTCAGGCCTATAGGAAGAGCCATCTGTTTTCATTTGGTAGGTCCATGGGGCGTATATTCCATATATTGTCCTTTGAACACAGAAATAAATTACATGCAAGAATTTATGAGACAGAGACATTAAATAATTTCCAGATTTGACCATTTTTAAGGGTAGAGGAAAATAACCTTTGGTCCAGTACCAGCAAGGGGTTACATGGATCTCCTTTCCCAGAAGTCCTGAAAGGTCAGAACATTTTCTGAGCTAACACTGGAGATTTTAATTCTTCCATGGGGAATAAAGCATCTTGGATCCAGGCCCAGTTTTAATCCCCATCTTTGCATTCCCTTTTTTGCTTCTTTCTCCTTGGTTGCCAAATTTTTCTTTCTCTTTTTTGGCTCTTACTTGATAATGCTTTCCTCTTTGAAAGTTGCAGTTTCTTTCAAGAAAGTGTTACAGAGAGAGAAGGAGTCCCCTTCGCCCCTATTCCCCCCAACTCCTCCCCACCCCACAGATCATTTGTCCTCTTCCTCACAGCTCCGCTGGCCCCAGGGGCTGGTACTAAGCCAGATTGAAGCACTTGGGCCATCTTCTGTTGCTTTTCCATTAGCAGGGAAATGGATCGAAAGTGCAGATGCTAGGACTGAAATCCTATATGAATGCCAGTGTTGCAAGCAGCAATTCTATTGGCTACACTACAACACCTGAGCCTAATAGTGTTTTAATTTTATTTTTTAATTGTTTGTATTATTTTCCATGACACAGTTTTTTAGGCATAGGGATTTTTCCCTCTCCCTCCCCTTCCTCCCTCCCCAATCTCACCTCCTACCATCTCCTGCCACTATTTCCTGACTACAGTAGTATAGTTCTTCAGCAATAGTTCCAAATCTGACATTCTGCTATTCCAGTGCATCATAGTATTACAGGTATAGACAAAGCAAAAAGTCTGGTATTGTCAGAGATATTTAACTGTTTTACTGGGAGTCCTCCTTTTATTTGGGAGTAGAGATGCCCACTGCAATGTATCTACTTCCTGGTATGCTAGTCTACCTTACACAATTCAGCTATGAACATATATGTATATGTTTGTTCACATAGAAATCTATGTGTTGTATCTTTTCCATAAATGTTGCTTTGTATCAGAGAGAACAATTCCTTTGGAAATTGACTTATTTCACTAACATAATTGTTGGGACCATTTTGTTGCAAATGGTAAAATTTGCGTTCTTTTAAATAGCTATGTAGTATTCCATGGAGTAGATAACGGCCAGTTTCTTTATCCATTCACCTTATATTCCCAGGTTACAGCTGTCACTCTATGAAAGATATTCAAAAATTTGATAAAAAAATGTGTTTTGTGAAGAACTATGCATGAATTATTCACAACTTTTTTTGAACTAAAATAAACTTATCTTTTTAATTCCTTGCGATTATTTAAAAATACCTATCTACTTATATGAAAGTTTCAGGAGAAAGCAAGAGGCAAACAGAGAGAAATCCTCCATTTACTGATTCACTCACCAAATGGCCATAACAGCAGGAGCTATACCAGGCTGAAGCCAAGAATCAGAACTTCCTCTAGATCTTCCATATGAGTGATAGGGACCCAAACCTCTGGGTTATCGTCCGGTACTTTTGCAGGCCAGTAGCAGGGACCTGGATCAGAACTGGGGCAGCCAGGTAACAAATCAGTTCCCACATGGGCTACAGGTACTTCAGCTCAGCAAGGAGGAACATGGTGGTTCATGAGTGATGTTTTCCAGAGCTCTCCTGGTGTGTGGTGGGCAGGAGAATGGTGGTAGAGCGAAGGAGACATGTGTGGTTTTGGCAAAATACACATCTATACTCTGATTTGGACCCAAGAAAATCTCCTCAGGAATCATGGGAATTCAATCGAGATTTCTGTGTAATGGCAGGAGTGCGAGCACTTAGAATATCGTACGCTGTTTTCTCAGGCACAGCAGCACAAAGCTGCAGCATTTCAGCCTAACCTGTGGCCCAAAATATCAACTTGCAAAAAAAATTTTTTTAAAGCAATTCCTCCAGTTAGTTCTTCTAGAGAAAATTCTTTATCATACCTACCATTGTTCTTAGATTAGGTGTTGATCAATTAGAAAATGTTAAATACAAGGAAAGAAGATTAAATTACGAATTGTCTCTTTTGGATCCTGCATGACGATGACCCTAACACAAACTAAATACCATTTGGCTATTTTTGTCTTTATAGTTAAATATCATTGTAGGCGTACCATGAAGAGCATAAAAGCAGTGAAACAGTATTTATCTCTGGTTTAATCTTCACATGTATTTTCTACTTATTGCATGAGATCCAGGTGGCCACTGACTGTAAGGTTAGTCTAGAATAAGGGACAGAGAGAAATATTCAAGGAAGGGAAACACATTGAAATTAGGTCAAAGGAAAGGAATTTGGAACATGAGTAAGTTCTCTAAGCAAAACTCACGGACTGCAGAAATATTTCCCGGAAGGAACAACACAGATCCAAGATGCCATCAGTCCTGCCTTCTGCCACTGGAGGCGAAGTGACCAGCCAGCAATGCTTACGATTTCGATGGACCGTGTACAAAACAACTTGTTCTCCCTCTTTCCTTTACAAACCCTTTCTTTTCTTAGATGATAGATGTGGAGTAATACACGCTTTTTACAGATTAAGTATAAGAAATTATATATAATCAGGCCTGGCATGGTAGCCTAGCACCTTAAAATCCTCGCCTTGACCGCACAAGGATCCCATATGGGTGCCAGTTCTAATCCCAGCGGTCCTGCTTCCCTTCCAGCTCCCTGCCTGTGGCCTGGGAAAGCAGTCGAGGACGGCCCAAAGCCTTGGGACCCTGCACCCATGTGGGAGAACTCAGAAGAGGCTCCTGGCTCCTGGTTTCAGATTGGCTCAGCTCTGGCTGTTGCAGCCACTTGGGGAGTGAATTAATGGATGCAAAATCTTCTCTGTCTTCTCTCTCTCTCTCTCTATATATATATGTATGATTTTGCAGTAAATAAATCTTAAAAAAAAGAAATTATATATGATCAGTATGTATAACTTCATGTGATGGGTTCATTAGCCCCTTTCTGTTTTCCCTTCAGGTCTCAAGTTGAACGTTCCCTCATCCTCTTTCTTAATCCTACAATGAAATTAGGACCCCTTTTCCTCCATGATTTTATGACAGTCTTTGAATTAGCTTTTCCTTCGTTGTGCATAGGTAAAACTTTGCTTCTTCATCTTCCTCTGCTTCCTCGAGAATCCACAAACTCTTTCAGGGTAGAACCATCTGTTTTTCTTTTTATAGCGCCTGAAACATGGCAGTTTTCAAAAAATCGTTTGTGAAAGGAAATAAAAAGGCCTGTCTACAATGTGTGCATGAGTCTCAACATTAATGCTGCTCACACAGACCATGCAAATTGGACAGATATTTTTCCCTCTTGGGTGGCGAGTGTTCAGAGAGGTGTTAATGCTGAAGGTGTTACTTGGCTCTGCAAACAGCTAAACGTTCATCACCTAAGTATATTCAGGGGATTTGGAAGTCAGTGTGGCAAATCCTCAATCCAGTGCCAGGTCTCTCTGATTCTTCATGAGGACCAGGGCTGCATCGCTGGGTTCTCAGCCATCTTCCTATATCTCTGTCCCATCCCTCTTTTGCTAGAATAAAGGCGAGCGTGGAGTGCAGTCCTTAATAAAGTTATAGTTTGTCAGAGAAGGACACTGGCAAGCCTCTTCCTGTTCTTTCATGAGCATGGCATTAGTACTGGCCTATGTTTTTCTCTCTGTACAAATGTAGTCGAAATTCTGTTCTAATAAGCTGAATCCTTGCACCTGTTGGGAAGCAGTTTATGCAAATTGACAGATGCATGGCTCTTGAGTCAGACTGCCTGGGTTTGAATGGCAGCTTCTACAGCAGTTGGTAATCTATGGGCAGGTTATTTGATCTTTTTAATCTCATTTACAGTGTGGAATATTCATACCAACGTCCCTCTTAGCTTTGCAGAAGTTTCGCATTTGGTTAATGTTTCTAAACGAAATTGCTGAAATACACTTGACAGTAAGCAGTCTGAGACTATGATACAGGATGTAGTGTTTGTTAAATCAAAACATTTTCTCAAATCTCTTTTCTTCCCGGCTAGATGGACTTGCCAGTTTCAAGAGTTTCCTGAAGTCTGAATTCAGCGAGGAAAACCTGGAGTTCTGGATTGCCTGTGAAGAGTACAAGAAGATCAAGTCCCCTGCTAAGATGGCTGAGAAGGCCAGGCAGATTTACGAGGAATTCATCCAGACGGAGGCTCCTAAGGAGGTTGGTCCTGGTGGGTCGGGGGGTGAGTGTGGTTAACTGAGGCTCAGCTTGGCCGGTCTGCAGGAAAGGTGGACATCTGCGATAAAGGCCAACGTGTGGCCCTGACAGCTGCTCCTCTGAGCACTTACTAAGTACAAAGCAAGTGTGAATTTGAATCTGTTCAGACCACACACTCACTAGAAGGGTGTCGCTCCACCGCTGCTAACCTTCACATGAGAAGGACACCTACGTGTTCTGGAATGTACTATTGATTCTCCTTGATGGTAGTTTCTTTCTTCAAAAGAAAAGAGAATAAGGCAAACTATTTTGTACAGTTGTTGTGAAGATTAAACAGAGTGAATTTACACATGTGCTTCTGTGTCTGTATTAACAATGCCTTTAAATTCCTCTACTCCCCTCTCCCTTCTCTGTTCTTTTTTTTTTTAAGGATATATTTATTTTTTGAAAGGCAGAATTGTAAAAGGTTTTCTTGTGGGGAACACACACCCACAGATAGAGAGAATGAGAGAGAGAGAAAGAGAGAGAGAGAGAGAGAGGAGAGAGAGGAGAGAGAGGAGATTGGACCATCCTTTGCTGCTTTCCCAGGTGCATTTGCAGGGTGCTGGATCCAAAGTGGAGCAGCTGAGACTCAAACCAGTATCCGTGTGGAAAGCAGCATCACAGTGACTTACCCCGCCATGGCACAGCTCTGCCCCCCGCCCCCTGCTCTCCTCTTACTTCTCATTACTGGTCTCTGCTACTTACAGTTCAGTTGGGGCAGCAAGAGCTCTAGTATGAAAAATAAGATATTATAAGAGAGTAGTGCTAAATATATTCGAGTGAATGTCCCATGGATTCACTTAAAGGGCAGCTATGTTGACATCAAAAAGTCTTGGGAGTCATTAGCAGCTCCTTTCTTGGACTGGAGTGCCATGGGATGGTAGAATGCAGAAGAGCCATAGCAAGACATAGTCCTCACGTTTTAGTTAGATCACCCTGATTCCACACTGTTCCCTTGAATCTGATCTGCATCTGAACGTTTCATCAAGGTTTGGAGTCAAAGTGCAAATGGAATCTGAACAAGCCCTGTGGGTAGGCATTAATCTACTTAAATCCAGAGAACCCACAATATCCCTTCCTTCCCACAAGTCTGATGGACTGTGGAACTTCTACCATTAGATACCTAGTCCAATGGCTGAGAGTTACCCCCAGCTCTTTTGAAACAGTAAATATATTTTAGTGGATACTGTATACCTTGAAACCAGCAAATATATATGGTCCCTCCAGGAATTAGAGAATAGAACTTAGGCATGTGGGAGTGTGCAGGTTGGTGCCTGAAGTCAAAATCATGAATATGAGAATAGTCTTAACGTGGAACTAGATTTAGTCATTCTGTGGACGTTCAGTATAGCATTCTCTCTGGATCTTCATACACCTCAACCTCCCAGCCCCAGCACATGTCAGCTTTTCTTTACGTGTGATGACCTCAAGCTTACCAATCCTTTCTCCTGGAAAAGTGCCTATGTTAACAAGTATAATGTTAATTATATGCTAATTTAGTATTAAGTTGGACACTCATTTCCTATTTTATGCTGATTCCAATTCCTTTTTTTAAAAGACTTTCTTTTTATTGAAAAGTCAGATTTGCAAAGAGAAGAAAGAAAGAGCCTCCATCCACTGTTTCACTTTCCTAGTGACCACAATGGCCAGAGCTGAGCTGATTCAAAACCAGGAGACAGGAACAGCCTTGGTCTCTGTTCTAAATTGTCTATACTCGTGGAGAGGTATAATAGTGTATGTAAGACCTTCCAATGCAGGTAGGCCAAGGTGATGTGCCTGAACTTGCCATTGTGATTCCTGCTCATTGCATGTAAGTATTAAGTAGATGTTTGTTAGGTAAATGGGTACAAATATCTAACTCCAGATCATCCTATATATATATGTGTGACTTTGGCCAAGTCTTCAATCAAATTTTTATAATCCTTGGTTCTGTTAATTTTATGTTCCATATGTCAGAATTCAATAAATGTGCCTCTGCAGTGTGTCTAAGAAATTTTCCAGCTTCTGTGTCAATCTAAACATTTACCATTTCATTTCAATGATATTGACTTATGCAGTAAACTGATCTAGGAACCTAAGGGCTTTTTTTCCCCCCTCTTTGAGTATTTATATCAGCTCTTCAACACAAAAAGACTGACTGAGAGAGAAAGTTAGAAGGACTGCAGGGCTGGTGTGATGGCTCAGTTGGCTGGTCCTCCGCTCGCAAGCACTGGTATCCAGTTCTTGTTCTAGCTGTCCTTCTTTTCATCCAGATCCTTGCTTGTGACCTGGGAAAGTGGCAGAGGATGGCTCTGGGGTCTTGGGACCCTATGCCCACATGGGAGGTTCCTGCCTTCAGGTTGGCTTATTACAGGGTGCGAGCGAGATCACACTAGACATATCTAAGGTTTTTTTTAAGGAGTCTTTATTAATCAAGCTTGGTGGTAACAGAACATACTAAAACAACAGATCACAGGTCCAATCAAAGCAGTATACTGGGACCATGCTCAGGGGATTACCTGTCCTGGATCAGCCAAGAGTCAAGGTGCCAGAGTAACTAAATACCTGAGAAGAAAGAGAGAGAGTGAACCTCCGTTTCTCGGGCCTTTGAAAGGGGCGTGTGAGGAGAGTGGTTACACAACAATGCAATACCGTCCCCTCTCAGTTGATAGGTGAGTCACAGGTGGGCAGGAGTGAATACCTACGTTTTGTGAGTTAAGGAGTTAATTGGCGCTCATTGGGAGGGGCAGGAACAGGAACTGGCCTTGTAGCTAAAAAGACTAATTGAACTCATCTGTGTCCAATATCCCAGCCGAACTAGGACGTGGGGGAAGAGTATACAAGGAGAGCTGAAGGAGCAATCACTGGCTGCACTCCATAACATTCCCCACTTCTCTTCACTTGATCTTAGCCAAAACACCTGAGTCAAATCATTGACTCAGTCACGAATAACAGGCTCAGGTGTAACCATTACAGCCATTCAGGGGGTGAACCAGCAGATGGAGTATCTTTTTCTCTCTGTTTATTTTTCTCTGTGTAGGTCTGCTTGTCCAACAGAAATAAGAGAATCTTTTATAAGATAAAAAGATTCCGGACTGTGAGTCATAAAAGGAAAAATGGGCACATGTAGTTAAACAAGCAGATCATTTATTCCTTGCACATTAATATTTGGTCATACTGAAAGACAATGAAATAATATTTTCCTGTTTCAGCAAACAGATGCATAAGTACCAGAATGATTCATTAGAAGAGGCTGTTATTTCTTGGTGTGCACTATTAGAGGACTTTAAAAAGTTACGTTAGTAGATATTTACAATTATTTTGGAAATATCATCAGTTGTAGTAAAGCTGCCTAACTAGCTTAGTATATAACAATATCTACAATAAGAGAAACAAAACACATTGTTTTCATCTAAGGGGAAGAAAATTGGACTTGACCATAGAAAAGTCCTTGTGGCAGTCTCACCTTTGCCCCACCCTATCTGTTTCTGGGCCGGACCTCAGTCTGACCAAGGCAAGGCAGACATTGGACTCCATCACCTCTGAGGCTGTTCCACTCTACCTGCCTAAGGCTCATGCTCAGGGCTTTCAAAGATGGTTCAGGCTGGCCCGGAACTCTGCAGTCATGCCTTTCTTTGTGACCCTATAATGCAGTGACAGGAGTGGAGCATGTTCCCCATTGGAATGCCTTGGTTTGAGTTCCAGTCCCAGGTCTGCATTGCACCTGCTGACTGACACACAGCCTACAAGGCAATGGAGCATGGCTCAAGAAATTCGTTCTGTGCCAGTTGAACTCCCAGTCTATGAGTGCAGCCCCAGTCCTGTCCCAGCTCCAATCGTTGTGGTTGTTTACAGAATGAATGAGCAGATGAGCGCATTCTGTGTGTGTGTGTGTGTGTCTTTGCCTCTCACACCAATCTGTTTTTAAAACCCAGCTGTTTGAATGTTATCTGAACCAAATAACTCCTTTCAATAAGAGCTTAGGAGAGAAGTGAAGCATCTTCTAATGTTCTGATGCAAAATACTTGCTTCATTTGGATTCTCTTTCTTTCTGTTTCAGAGTTGGACTGCTTCACAATTGTGAAAGCATATGGTGTAGAGTATATGTATTTCTCCTGAAGGGTAGTCAAGAAAATGCATACAGGCTGTACCCAGCCAACTCCAGGGAAGCCATTAACCTAGATCCTGATATAATGAGATCCTTGGGGATTGTGCCAGGCAGTAGCCCAGTACTCAGGACTCAGAAGCCACACTCGCTTCCAACACAGATTGAAAGCTCAGCTACTGCAGACACATTTTTGGGCCTCTGAGCTTTATGCCTGCCTCTAAGGACTTTGAGTGGAACACATAGCATTTCCCATGCCCCAGCTAAGAAATACACGGGATGGTATCAACTCCATAGAGTTGTAACATTAAAGAATGTCATCCTTTAAAGTCCTCAGCCAGGCATCTGGCATAGACTAAACACTCAATAAATACGAACATCTGCTAACCTCCATATTATTTTTTGAACTATTGTTTCTGCAATTAGATAAAAGGTCATGGATGGTGTCTGTATCTTTTGCTGCCTTTCCATTCCCTTCACTAGACACAAAACCAAATGCAAGGGTAGAAAAAGAGTGGAATCAGGCATCATTACACTTGGACTCAAAATCTAATTCCTGGGTTCAGAGTCATTTATTAGCTCTCTGACCACATAACTTTCTGCGCACGTGGGAGTGTGCGTGCATGTGTGTATGTGTGTGTGCATGTGTGCACACACTCACAAAGGCAGCGTTATTCTTAAAGCAGTCAGGATTAAATAAGATACGTATGAATTTCTGGCAGAAGTTTTGATACTTGGTGGGTATCTAATGTTGGCAATTTTAATCTGAGTCATTTATTTATTGGAGTATCAGTTGCTTCCCCAGATTTCCCATAAAACAGACGTGTCATTTCTCACCGTGAATTTCCTCCACGTACGTTACCAGCGAGAATTTCTGCTCGCCCCTACTCCCTTGTCAAAGTCTGCTGTCCGTGACTCAGTGAGCCTGTCTCCTGCTCCACAGGTGAATATCGACCACTTCACTAAAGACATCACGATGAAGAACCTGGTGGAACCTTCGCTGAGCAGCTTTGATGTGGCCCAGAAAAGAATCCATGCTCTGATGGAAAAGGATTCCCTGCCTCGCTTTGTGCGCTCTGAGTTTTATCAGGAGCTTATCAAGTAGTAACTTGGTGGTCAGGCTCTGAAAGTCAGCCAGTGGGTTAGTGCCTCCGTCATCACCCCAGGTTGCCCCCTAATCCTGTATCTTTCCATAGTAGCTTTGCTTGAAGATAACTAAGAAGAAACTTCCCAAGAAGTGTTGCTTATGTTTCCCACCTTGTGTTGGATGTTTGCCCATGGTGCTCATGCTCTGTTGTTCCTGCCCCATTGTTAATTAAACTCTATACAAGTTTGAAGGTGAAGCACAGAAAAACCGTGTCTGAGGCAGAGAAATGCTTATCACAAACATGCTATCTTTGGGTTTAGCATTAAATCTCCACCTACAACGGTTTTAAAAAAGAATGGGGATGAGGGATGATCACCTGATTCGGAATGTTACTTCTGCCCCCGGGAGACCACCCTCTGATTATTTCTGGAGTAACCTTACTTAAGTTTTAAGCAAATTCAGTATTTAAAATATAATCTTTCCATTAAAACATCTTCATGTTGGCTTGGGCATTAGGATAAGAGTTATAAGAATGAATCTAAATGCAAATTCATGTTGATTGTAATCATTTTACCTCCTACCCTTATGTCCCTGTTTAAGTCCCCAAGCTGTTTTCAAAACCAATGACCTGAGACCAGCATGACAAATGTATCTTTGCCCCAGAGTATGTAGGCCAAAGTTTTATTTGTCGTATTTGAAAGCTCGTAAGTATAAAATCCACAGATTTCTAATTCCCATGATGTAAAATGAAAGTATCCACAGAAGTGTTCATAACCTTGATTATAGTAATATATAAAAAAGGGAAAATCTCATCAAGCTTAAAATGACTAACTATTCCATGAGTCTGTCATCTTTTTTTCCATAATGAGCGTTCCTTTCAAAGTACAAAATCTCTTGGGAAAAGTTACTGAGGCTCTGTGTAGAGGCTTTTTAAGTGAGAGAGTTTTAGAGTCCTGCTTTTGCAGAATAATAACTTTTAGCAACACCATCTTCCCTCACTATTTTGCTTCACGCAATATTAATTTGTACTTACAGAAAAAAGTGCATATTCCTGATATACCTTATGCACAACTCATTATAAGTCACATTATTTTCTTAGTAGGTTTTAGCCTTTAATTCCTTATTTCATGATTGTAAGTCTTAGAAACTGTTAATTATCTTTAGCACATTAGGTTAAGGTAGTGATTTACAAAACTTAGTCCTATATAGAATTAAACTAAGCCATGTGTAAAAGTAATCAAGGTTAGGATACAGGGTGATTCAAGAAGAAAGAAGAGGTATTTTAAAGGACTAATAAAATTCCACAATATCAAAGTAGAAGACAAGATTGTCTAGTCTTGAATTTCCTTTTATTATTTTTTTTAAGTTTACATATGTAGTTCATGTATTCAGTTATATCCTAACAATATCAGAAGTAAAACATTTATGTTACTCTTTTCTTTTTGGGGGGCAGGGCTCACACTGATTTTAGTCTATTTGTGATTTCAAAAGATAACACTCCCTTCCTGAATACTTGCCATTTCACACTACGAAAGCAGATCCAAGTGACTGGGTATGCTGCCAACTGTGGCGGGAGGTGGTCCAAGAGACTCCACCACTGTAAGCACAAAAATGTTCCTGCCACTTCTGTTTGTGTGAGGTGGATAAAGAACTCAGACACAAACCCTCCAGGGTACACTCTGCCTCACCTTTTCAGCCTCTGTCTATTGTGGCCCAAATTAGTAAAAACAAACAAACAAAAAAACACAAATGTTCCAATTTTTCATTTGTATTCGAGCCAGAAATGATAGAAACCTTAGAATCCATATCAATTATTTTTTTTTCTTGAATGCCAAAGCATTTTCAAGGGAGAAAAATAAACTTAAAAGTCAAGTATTCACATGATTTGAAATACTTGTATATTTGAAGAGCATTAAGTGGATACATATCTTCAGAGAGTAGATGATACAAAGACTCCAGCTGCTCCTCCCCACATTGGCTGCATACCCCAGGTAACTGTGCAGACCTGTCCGTGGAGGAGGACCTCCCTTCACCTTCATGGGAGCTGGATGCAGGAGACCAAGTTCAGGAAGGCATCATGAGGGAGGACAGGACCGTGAGGCTACAAAAAGAATGAAAGAAGGGACATCCTCCAGGGGGTGGCATTCTGCCTACCTTCATCTGTAGCATTTATCTCTATCTACCACCCATACTTTCAAATTTAAAGAAATATACACGCCCATAATTACAAGCTCTTCCAACATGAGAAGTCAATCAAGAAATCAAAAGGAATAGAATCCTTCTAGACCCAAATTAGAAAGCAATTATATTAAAATTACCCAAGGGATTTCTTTGAAAGTTTTTCTTTGAAACATACAAACAATGAAACAAACTGATATTGCTAGTAGTTTCCATAGCAACACAAAGAAAATACCATTCTTTTCATTCTGGGAAACTAGAAAATTTGGGAAAGACCTTTCCGGGAAAAAAAAAAGTATATAACTTCTATTTATGACTCTCCTTCCCTTGTCTTGCCTCCTCTCTTCTTTCCCTTGACTCAATGGCCTGGGAAAGTATGAAGGGTTATGCAAGAGCCCTGGGCTGCTTGCATGTTCCTTCCCTGTGAAAATGTAATTATCGTTGTAAGTGGACTTGGGAGACAGAGGTGTTGGAACCAAATTGTGGTCCAAGGAAATGGGAGTCTATACGCTTCTCACTCTTGAGAGTTTTAGCCCACGATCTAAAACAGAACCTAAGTTTTTCTGCCTCGGTTTCATCTAGTAGGGGTCGGGCTCAAATGAAAATCTGAAATAGACCAGGACAAAGAGAGAGAGTAGCACCTCTGGGGAGAAAGAATAGGTTATGGCCCCTGTGTGCCTGCCACAGCAATGCTTGTTCAAGCAGTGTTTCTGCACCCCTTGCCTCCCTACTCCCACACACAGAAAATTTTTTCCTCCCACATGCCACTTTTTGAAATACAGAATTGAGGCATTGCAGGAACGTTGCTTTCAAAACAGCAAAGTCAATTCATATGGAAACATTTTGTGTTTCCTTCCCTAGATGCTGTTAGGTTCTGAGTAAATTTCAGTTTTTAACACATAAAAGAAATAACTTGGTGAAAAATAATGCTTTTTTATTTGCAATCTGCAAAAGCATGCATTTTACTTGCTTGATGTGGTTGTTTTTTAACACCAAATCTATTTGAATAGGACAAAACTGTGAATTTTTCCAAAAAATAAGTGTCTAGAAGTTTCAAGATAAGTTTGAGCATTCACAAATAAGTAGCTAAATAAGCAAGCATTACCCTCTCACACACTGCAATCTTATCACAAATTTGAAGGGTTGAGATTCTTTGGAAAGCACAGTTAGAGTTCAGGGAAATGATTTTTTTATTCCTGACACTGTTTCTGCTAGCAGGTCATTTTCCCAGTTTTTGTGGAATTTGTTGGGAAGAAAGTGGGTCATGAGAAAGCAGGGAGGTTAGGGGAGAAGTGGGAAGAAGCAAGTAAGTGCTCAGAGCTGTGAAACTAATTCACTCACTAGGGGATATTTAAGAGCAGCTCAGCCTGGTTGGAAATCACACTTCCTCATGTTCTTCCAGACTTGCAAGATGTCTCTTGACTCGCAGTGCAGCTGGATGGAAAAATATTATCTCAGTGACCTAGAAAGCCTAGAGAAAAGGACATGGAAGAACCATCTGATCTCCTCACTGGGCTTGAATATGCAGGAAGCAGAGAAGGAACACCTCCAAACCCAAGTGCTGGGAAACTCTGTGGGTTTTGGACATGAAGTCTAGGTGCATGTTAGCCAGTTCCAGCTGATCTGCTGGTTGCCTTCTCTAGGTTTGTGCCTTCTTCACTGTATTAGGCAAACACATTTTTTTTAAATTGTTCCCAGTGGAAGGCTCTTTGGTTAACCATTCAGTATCTGCGGCTTTTGTTAAGTTCACATCTCACTGGCTTCTTCAGCAAAGCAGACCATAATTTACCCAAAAAAGAATTTCCCAGAATTAGTTAATCATCCTAGAAGTGAAAAGGTCAACTCTTCCCATTGAGGAGATGTGCATGGCTTTGAACAGAAATGCACAGCAGAGTGACAGGCAGGGAAAAAAAAACCTGGGATATTATTCTCAACTTACAGTTCAATAATAATCTTACTTTTCTAATATAGTAGCTACAAGTCAACCAGTTAACATTTACAACTAGTTAATTAAGTCTTTCCAAGTTCTCTCACCTAAGGTATTTCTTCCCCCTTCTTCTGTACCTCCCCTTTTCCTCTCCCCTGAAGTAGGCAATATTTACAATGGTTGAGTCTAATTATCATTCAAATATTCTAAATATCAATCAAATAATTACAATGAGCACACTGAAAGCATTTAACTTTCTAAGAAGGAAAATGTAAAGATTAAAGCATCAAAACAGAGAAAAAGAGAGAAATGTGAGAATTTGCTAGTGGAGAACAGTAATCAAGTTAACTTTTACTGGAGTTTCTTTTTGTGCTATACAGGATCAGAATTTGGGGAAACAACTTGTTGGTAATACTACAACTTACCATTTGCTATCAGAAGACACAGCAAGCAGAAATGAAAGGTCTGTGAATCCATTCGTCTGCATTTATTCCATAACTACTAAAGTCAGAAATAATGTATTCATCTTCTGATTTTTGTATTCAATACATTTGTACTATGCAACTCACCCTTCTTGATAAATAAAGCACCAAATATGGATCTGTAATCGTGATCACATGTTACATTAAATATATATCCATATCACTCTGTAATAGCCTCATATGAGTCCTTCTTCTTGACACCCAAGTGTTTTTAACATGCAGCTTCATATGAAGTTCAAAATGCTTCTCATACCAGGTAAATCTGTTGAGAGGATCTTTGGTTGGTGCTGATTTTAGCAGAACTTGACGTGCAAAACTCAGGAAAGAAGATGCAAAGTGGCCATTTTCAAGCCTGGCTTCGGGTGACAATAACTCACTTTTGGGAACTTACTGAATACATTTGGATCCTACAATATTCAACAAGGATGGTAGGTAATTCCTTTCTCTTCCTGCACTGATGAGAGATTGTACTTTAGATTTGCTACTAGGATTATTTAGGCAAGGCATTTGGATTATACAAGTAGTAGGAAGCTTACATACAGAGAGAAGTACAAACAGGTACAGATTTACAGTGAGAAACAACCCTAAGAGTCCATGTGATAGACATACATAGGCTTGGACAGGCTGTCAAGCATTTAGCACAGTAGTTAACATACAAATTAGAATGCTTTTATCCCACACTAAAGCATCTAGGTGAACATGTTGACCCTGTGCTGTCCTGCCAGCTGACACCCGAGGAAGCAGCGGGTTCTTGGCGTTTCCAGCTTCCGTCTCCTGCCAGCCCAGCAATGTCAGGTGTCTGGAGTAGACCACTGGGTGAAACATCTCTCTGTCTTTTTGTCTTTCAAATAAATGGAATTTCCTTCTATGAGATGTTTCTTAGTTTGCTATTCCCATAAAGTGCGGCAATATTTAATATAGATACATTACTCCTGAATTATCTAAATACATCTTACTCTCTTTAGTTTCATTACTGAGTTTCCACCAACAAGCACTACCAGAGCAAAGATCCCTGACAGTTCCCCATCTACTTACTATGCAAGTTCCACGGTCAAATGGAACTTAAGAGATTGCCTAGATTGCCCCTTCCAACAGAGAAACCTTATGTGGTTCCAAGGTACGAGCACTACTGTCTCTGACTTAAGGACAGTTGCTAAATGAACCCACTCTACCATCTCTCGGCTGGGTAGGCCACACTCTCCAAGCATTAAGATCACTAAAGCACATTTGCTAGTTTTACATGTTCCAAATTCAGCAAAAATTTGAACATCATTATGGTCACAAAGCATTTTTTGGAATATATTGATTTTTTTTTTCCCAGATGACTTGCTAACTTCCCTACAGCATTCTGAATTCATCTCATCTGGCACTCCCCATATGTTTCCACATTTCATCAAATCCTGGATTTTAGTATTATAGTATGTTAAAATAAAAAGAGATAAGGCTAACCATTTTATGAAAAATAATGCATGAAAAGCAAAGTGAGGAACATGCAGTTTTCTCAGCATTGGCAGGCATGTTCCATTGCCAGATAGCCAGATCTCTGTTAAGGTTCCATGTGGGCCTCTTGCAATGATACAACTGCCTAAGCCTCTTGCTTCAAGTGCCATGAGTCCACGTGGGCACCCATTCATGTCCCAGCTGCTCCACTTCCAATTCAGTTACCTGTTAATGGTCTGGGAGAAACAGTGAAAGATAGTCCAATTGCTTGGGCTCCTGCACCTATGTGAGAGACCAAAAAGAAGTTCCTGGCTTGGGGCTGGCCCAACCCTAGTCTTGCAGCTATCTAGGGATTGAACCAGTAGATGGGAGATATCTCTGACCCTTCCTTTGTGCCTGTAATTCTGACTTCAATGAAATAAATCTATTAAAAAGAAAAAAAAGCACCAACTAAAAAGAAAGTTCCACGTCTAAGTCACAGCCTCTGCCAGATAATGCTGCTTATCACAGGCCTGCTGAGAGTGTACGCTTATCGATCAATGAAGCCTTACGGATGCCTTGAAACAGCAATGTCTTGTGACTACTGTTGGAAAGAACTTCCTGTGACACAAGAGAGAAACAGATGCCTGCCTGGTCTGGATTGCTCATGGGCAAAGCCTCTTTGCTTCCGAGCAGAATTCGTGGAAAGCATTAAGGACAGAGTGGAACTGGAGCCTCAAGACCTTAATTAAACAGCATGAGGGAGATGGATGCCCCGATATCTTTCTTAACCGAATATTTATTTTGATTGTTTCTTAATTTGGCAATGAAACTTCAGCTTTGTTCTTACTTAGCTTTCTCTATAATTTGACAATAAGCAGGGAGAAAAGTGTCTTTTGTCCCTGAATGAAAATTCACTCATCCTGTTTTCCAAGATCCTCCTTGCCCAAGAGGCCCACCCCTGCAGAAAGGACACAATTGAAACCTGGAGAACAAAGGGGGCACTTGGTAGCCATCATCAGACACAAAGATGCACTCCTATATCCTAAAAGATTATTGTACTTAAGATCCATTCTTACAATGAAACTTTAATAATGAAATGGAGGCTCATTAAGGTAAAAGGATTTGCCCAAAACTACACACCTGGAGAATGTCATGATTCTATGGATTATCAGATTCCTAATGTAGAACAGCATTTCTTTAGAAAACACTTCGTGTTTTGCCACAATCAAGTCTGTAGTAACATAATAACAGGTGGTCTTAGAGTTGATGTCAAAGATCTCTAACAGAGAAATGGGAGGGTTGGCTTAGAAAAACCCTGTATTACACAAATAGACTCCTCTCTCTTAACTCTGTAATAATTTTCGTAACTACATACCATCAGGGACTGAAAAAACACTTCTTTAAGTGTGAACTATCCTATCAGCTATCCCTACTTTGATGCAATCCCAATAGTATAATAGATTTATTTCGTAAAATTCTCCCTGAAGACAGCCAGAGGGTTAGGTGTTCTGATGGACAAGAATGATATGAAGGAGGGAGAGAGAGAGAGATCTGTTTCATGCCATGATATTTCTTGATTTGATAGACAATGTGCTATATATGGCTCCATTCTCTGAAAGCATCAGAAATAAACATCTTTGTATGGGCACAGAACACTGCTCCATCCGTATGTGACTAAAGCAATTATGCTGCATCCCTTCAGTTTTTTTCTGGGATTTGGAGAGCCAAAGTAATTGTGAAATTTGCTAATTATCCATTGCAAATTACTACTGACAATTATCTCATTTTCTTAGGTATTATCCATTATTGAAAAGTTTTCCCTTTAGCAAAATTCTCCAAAAAAAAAAAAAAGGGGGGGGGGAGGCCATACAGATCTCTTAAAAAATCAGTCTGGGCTTCGGCGCAATAGTGTAGCCGCTGAAGTCCTTGCCTTGAACGTGCTGGAATCCATATGGTCGCCGGTTCTAATCCCGGCAGCCCCACTTCCCACCCAGCTCCCTGCTTCTGGCCTGGAAAAACGGGTGAGGATGACCCAAAACCTTGGGAATCTGCAACTGCTTGGGAGACTCAGAAGAAGCTCCTGGCTCCTGATTTAGTATTGACTCAGCTCCAGCCGTTGCAGCAGCTTGGAGAGTAAGCCATCAGATGGAAGATCTTCCTCTCTGTCTCTCCTCCTCTTTTTATATCTGACTTCCCAATAAAAAATAAATCTTTAATAAAAAGATCAGTCTGAATTATAAAACACTGCTGTACTTCAAGAATTTTTATTGCCATCTTCTAATAGCATCCTGAACCTTCAGCCTGATGCACAGAGGCCTCTAAACCACCCAGAGAAGTACTGGTGTTTGCACAATTTTAAGTGCATCATGCTTCCTCATATTCTAGACCTTTCACTGCATTCTGCAAATTTCACTTGGATCACATCTACACAGGCTTTAAACAGTAGCAACCAGATACCCTCTTCAAGAAAACGTCTTTCCCAGTTCACCAGGTACAATGAATAGAAACAGAGACCACCTTCTAACTTGGTATGCCTCTAATAATATGTCCCTGACAGTTATATAGGGTAACTGTGTGATACAGTTAAAGGATATCCTTTTAAGATCTCACATTTTAGCTTTTGAAATATTTGGACATGAATTTCCAGATATCAAACTCTCCTTAAATTGCTGGGCAAATAGGCCAAGAGAGGAAATGGAAATTCCTGTGGAAAGAAAAAAAAATATTCCTTCCACATCTCTATGTTGTCCAGCATCATAAATAACAAGATAGAGGCAGTGGGGGAGGAGGATGAGACTGATACCAAGGCAACTGTGAGGCTGGTGAGACTATAGATAAACTTGGACCCCTCTCTGTAAATTACCATCTACCCTATCTGTTTCAAATTAGCTATGCCTTGAATGTTATTGGTTCTGAGACTTCGTTCCTTTCTGGAAAAGCAGGTCAAACATGTGTCAGGGTCTTTACCCTGCACATCACCAGCCAATTTTCTAACTCTTAAAAAGTGGAAAAAATAAATGCACTATTCTTGAGGATGTCTTGGTAGATAGCATTTGATTTTTTTCCAGTAATACATTTCTGTTTCACTTTAGGAGGTAAGCAGGAGTACAAGGCTAATCATACTCCTTTGAAACTGCACTTTATTCTTCTTAAAAGGTTTAATGGCAGTTAGCAATTGCATGACTCTCATCTGGCCCTGTCTTCCCAGACTAGTCTTCTAGAATGACTCAATACAGAGAGAAGCAAAGTGTATGTATTTTTAGCTTGTGTAAGAGACTTTCTATTTTATTAATCAGTAACCTACAAAGTGACTGCATCTGAGGATAAAGATAATTGAGACCCAGTGATGCCATTTATTTAATATCTTAGCTCCTCAAGACAGACAACAGATTGAAAAGACATCTCAAAGATACAGATGGCATGTTTGATAAAATCTAAACCTATGACTCTTTGAACTATTGGCAGATAAATCAGCAAAACATTGAGTGTTGGTAATATTAAGCTTTTTGAAATGACTTTTATAGTTAAACCTTTGATTCCCTCTAGTTGACAGGATTACCTGACTTAGAGACAGACTATGAATCATAAATTAGGCTTTTCCTTTATACGATCTTGGGTAACACAAATAACCCTGGCCCCCCTTTTTTTGTTATCTACAGAAATAGAACAATCCAGATTATTTTTATATAAAATGGGTGCTAAGGAGTACATGAAATGAGACTGGTTTTTTAGATCTGCATCCAGG